CAGCTCGGTGGTGCCTTCACCGCTGCGTTCCACACCCAGCTCTGTCCAGAAACTGAGCTGAACATCAGGGGCTCCAACTGCAGCTCTGACTCTCGTCCACTCTGCTGATCTGCTTGATGTCATTTCCCCTTGGAGTCTCTAAGCTCCATGAGGGTGGAACCTCCATCTGCTGTGCCACTGCATGACCAGAACTGAGGACAGCACAGTGCTACCCGTCAGCAGCCTCTCGGTATGTCTCTGTCTTCTGTAGGGCTCTGGCTGGGAGCAGGACAAACGGTGAAGGGGGAGGAGATGGGTTCTCTGTTTTGTACTTCACACAGCCGGAGGATGGAAATGAGAGAGGGCATCACAAAGAGGCCCCTCAGAGCAGTCAAAGGATGGCATAACACAAGCCCCACCTGAACAGACTGGCATCAGGGGATCCAGTTCAAAGTCCTCTGGGCTAGGCTGGGCTGGGTGTCCTGGACGCTGAACAGCGTAACCTTGCTTGTGAGTCTACCCTTTCATTTCCCTCCTTCCAACATTTCTGATGCCAGAGCACATTTTTTTTAATCACATCAGAAAAATAAATGATGTCACCATAGCAGCCTTCTTAAAATAGTGCAGAAGCAAGCCTCTCCCAAAACAGGCCACATTCAATGTTACATAAGTCTGGATGCTTCGGGCAAAGATCACATTTTCCAGAAGTCTGCCTGGGTTGTGGGGAACTGATGGAAAAGCTGTCAGCAGGGACAGGGCAGTGGGCTTGCAGCTCCAGCTTTGCTACTAGATCTTCATCCTTGCGCAAGCCATTCCATGCTCTTGGCCTTGTCTCCTGCATCCACGAAATCAAGGTGCCACCCTAAAGGACAGATGGTGCCTGCCAGTTCCAAACTCAGAGTTCACACAGGACACTCAGGGCTGTCCCAGAGAGCCCAGCTTCTCCTTCAAGGTCATCTTGCAGCTAGGTTTGAAATTTCCTCCCCACTTCTTTATTCCCTCAGTGAGGCTTTGCCTAGAAGGGTCTGTTCCCTCCAGCTCTGTCAGCTTCCAGCAGGGGCTTGCCTCTGAGCACACCTTAAGCTGCCCTGCCTTTGGACATAGGCATGGTTTGTGGTAGACTTCCTTCTTACCACCCACAGAGCCAGCGCCTGGGGGAACACCTAGGCGTTCATGCTCCAGAGCCCTTCCCAGCATGGGGCTAGGCCCGTCACAGGCTCACCTCTGGCCTTTCCAACCTTCCTGGCAGAACATGAGCTTACTGTTACTGCCCTCAATTCCTCCAAATCTCAAGAGATTAACTCAGCTACGATCTAAACCCAAGCTTTCTTGTTAACGGACACCTTACTATACGGTGGCCAGGATTGATTTACCTGATACGGACAGAGCCATGCAACAGCTCCGACTCATCAATAAGTAAATACCAGTTTCAATAGGACTTTTAGTTACACTGGCTTTGTAATGACAATGAGTGAACTTTTTCTTGGATTTGCACTCCAAAAACCTAAGGACACCTCTCTATGGAGGTATAACGATACTCACTGGCACCAAAGTACAAAATACTGCGATTCGAATGGGCTCCTCAGTGACAGAATATACGCATACGACTCTACAAACCAAGCTGATGTAACCTACGCCAGGCCTTAGGGCAGATGCCACCCTGGAGTCTTTTATTTCAGCTTGAAAGAAAGAAGTTTTAAACTTGAGGGGAAAGTTCATAGGCAAGGCAGCCTCACATGCGGGCCAAACGGTAGGCGCATGCATCTTTCTAAACCACTTCTGCTATCTGGGTTTCAAATGGCTCCACAATTTAAGTCAATTTCCAACGGGGACTACAATGATGGCTGTCATCCACAGGGGCCCAGAGTTGCTCAGCAAGGGGGCCCAGCTGCTGGTATGTTCCTTAGCCAGATGCAGCCTTCCCGATTTGAAAGGCCTCTGTCTAAGGGTGGCACAGCTCGCTGAGGCAGTGGTGAAGGGGAAAGGAACCCAGGCAGTGGATCCAGCCAAATCAACCTGGTACCCAGAGGGTGGCAGCAGGGCAGCTGGCTATGCACCCCCTTTCACCCGGCCGGGAGGAAGGGCCAGGCCAGGCACTGCACACACTGAGGATGCTGTCCACAGCCGCCCTCCCAGACCAAGAGCGCCAGTGTCCTTCCTGGAAAACAAGACACTTTCAGTGCCATTTTATACAGAGTGGGATTATTGGAGGTCTGAATACAGACACTGACAATGCAGGCTTTCAGAAAATGAATACTTTCTTATTTTATGTTTAAAAGTTTAAGGCAATTTCGACAAAAATAGTCCATGTGCTTTAAAAAAAGAAATAAGTATCACTGCTTTTTTTTCCTCTTAGACCAAAATTGCATGCTAAAAATGAGCTTGGGCTGGGGGCGCAGCTTCCTGGCAGAGTGCGTGCTAAGCACACCCAAGTCCTGGGTCCTCGCCCCAGCACCAAAGCCAACAAACAGACACGTACCTCACCATTAGTGTGCTCACAGCGATGTCAACAGCAATGTACAAAAAGATTAACTGAAGCACCATTTTTAGTATTAAGAAACAGAACAAAACTATGTATTCATCAATAACAAGCTGGTTTAATCAGTTATGATACATCCGTTCCATGGAATATCATGGAATATTCAAAAGAAATGGTATAATTTTGTTTCCAAGTACAAGTGGTAGAATAGTACGTGTTATGATTCCACTTGGGAAAGCAAGAATTCTGTGTGTACCGATTATACATGGCTCTATGCACACAGGAAAGGTTCTAGAAGCACAGTTACTAAACTTAACACTATTGTATTTTTAACATGTACAAAGCAATCTTGGTAGTTTTTATATTTTTTCACTTAGTATTCAGGTGAGTCTGGTATCAACCATAACACAATGTCTAATATCATAATCCATAACCCAATGTCTACATATGAGCCACTTTTGATTAGGTATTTTTAATTTTTACTTTTAATTTTAAAAAAGGAAATGTAAATCAACCACCCCAAACAAATCCTTGATAACAACCTGTATCTAACCAGGCCTGCCTTTTATCATCCTGACTTCTCATGTTCTAGGCAACTACCACCTCAAATCCTACATTCATCCTTACTTCAATAATTAACAAATATTGAGAGGGAGAGGCAGAAGGATCGCAAACTCAACCCAGCCTGGGCAACTTAATAAGACCCTGTCGGGCAGGCACACACACACACACACACACACACACACACACAATGTTTAAAAGCTGGGAGTACACTACAATGTAAAGGCACTGGGATCAATCTTTAGTACTGCAAAATGAACAAACAAAATAACAATAAAAAATTTTAAAGCGTTGGGGTATAGGTCAGTACAAAGACATCAATTTGCTGGGCTTTCAAGCTCACTATTCTTGAATCAAACACAAACATTACAAAGTTAGTTCTAGGCTGTTCTCTACACATAGAGCAGCCCATCTTCCCTCCTCCAGCCATGCAGCATGGGTCACTTGGGTGCTCATCACAGGGCACAACACTAACTTCCCACCAGAAGCCAAAAACAAACATCTTTTCATTAGATATCATTCCCCTGGAAGAAAAAAAAAATCAGTAGCTGATTCAAATTCATCCTAACTACCTAATCATTAAATAATGTATAGTTTGAGCAAAAAATGTCTCGGCTTCCTTTCACGGGAGGATACAAATATGTCATGGAAGTAAAGTTCTGAATGTACAGGGCAGTGATGGCGACTGTCAGCGCATTCAAGGAGACAAACACGCTGCAGCACGTGAGTGCTAAGGTTTGCCACTGCTGGTACAGGGGTTCTCAAGATTTAATTCTTACACTCTAAGAGACAGCACATACAATAGGAAAGTGCCACAGGGCAGAAGTGATGAAATTCACTCGCTCTCTCGAATGGCACTCAAATCTGGAGTCCCACCTTCTCAGGTACTTTACTCTGCTAACTTTTATTCCTTTTGATTCTAGGTATGGGGAGCCTCCGCGTGAGATGAGACTTGAAGACCTGCACTCGGGCATCTGCTGAGCTGTGCCGCACGCTTTCTCTGCTTGGGCTACACCCGCACTTGGTGACAAGGAAGCACCTCTCCAAGTGCAGCACAATGATTATTCAAATAAGCACTTCTATGATGACCTATGACTTTTGAATCCAACGCCAAGTCTTTGCAAGCAGTCAAGAGAATGACTTGACTGCAAATCACGGCCATACAGCTGTGTCAGAAGGCCTCTCCTCTGGGTTGCCTTCCAAGTACAAGTTACAATTAAATGGAATCTCATCTACTGATACTTCATTAACATATTTAATATGTTCAGATCATCCAAAATGGCGCATAAGCTAAAAGTACCTGCACTTGGAGCATATTCATATACTTGAGCAAGAGAGCATCTCCTATTTTTAGATACTGCACTGTACAGGGGCAGTCAGAGGACAGACTTCCCAGGATGCCCTGCCCGCCTTTCCATCCAATTCAAGCTTGTACACCAGTGACCCCACCACAGACAAGCCATGCTATTTTTCTCACTAGAAACATTCTATGTAGGCTGACAAGACAGCTCAGTGGTCTAAGTGCCTGCCTGGCAAGTGCAAGGACCCAGGTTCAATTCCAGACACCACATGCTGTGCTGGCCCCACCCCAGGCCCACAGAGTTGGACACTGAAACCAGGCATGGAGGTGCACACCTGTAATCCCAGCGCTGGGGAGGCTAAAACAGAAGGATCATTACGAGTCCAAGCTGCATAGTGAGACCCTGTACCAAGTACATAAATTTAAAATAAAAAAACCCCAGCAAAACACTATATGTTGTTTACAGTTCTCAAGGAGCCAAGGAGCTAAGGTTTCTGACAGCAGTGTTGCTGAGCTGCTGAGGCACCGAGGGAAGGCAAATAATACCAAAGCCTTGAGCCTCTGGCTCAACTATACTGAGAAATGCAGCCCCAGCACCTATGAATCCTAAAAACCAGATTTGCATGACATTTCCTGGCAACTCCGGCCGAGGCTGCGCCCCGCCTCTTCGGGCCCACTTACTCTTCCTTCCTCAGCAGCTCCTCCTCGGACTCGGTCAGGCGTTGCCTCAGCGCGGCGATCATCTCCACGGCCACGTCCACCTGTCTGTTCAGCGCCCGCTCTCGTCTCTGAACTTCCTGCTTTTTCTGAGTCAGCTGCACAAAAGCCGCCCGAACTTCCAACAGTTCCGCGGTTTTCTGGGCCAGCTCTTTGGTGAGTTTATCGATTCTCTTCTCAATGGTCCTATCCACAGCTTCAACCATCTGATTGAATTTTTCTCTGACGTGTGCCTCGAAAGCGGCTTTGGTGTCGGAGGTGGGAAGCCCTGGGCTGGACCGCGGCCCATCCAGCGGGTCTGCACGGATGTCCACAGCCGTGTAGGTCTGCACATAGGACACAGGCCTCTCTGCCACCACCTCCAGTGGCTTCTGGTCCTTGTAGTGTTCATGAGAAACGCTGTACAAGTTAACATAACTGGGCTTCTGCTTGGCCACACGGCCGCGGCCCTGCAGCTTTCCCTGTTTGAGAAGTCCTGCGGAAGGGACGACATCTGCGTCTTTGAGGGATGGAAAGAGGCTGCATTTTGTCAGCAGGGTTCTTTCTTCGTAGCTGTGACTGAACTCCAGATGGGCCCTCAAGGATGACAAGCTTCTAAATCTGGTATGGTCTCCACACCTCGGGCAGCGGAAGGGCAGACACACAGCAACATTTTCAGAGGACCGCTGCCAGGGGTATCTGCTTTCCTCAAAAGCCTTCTGTTGCATTACTCTACAGTCCTGTGAGCGGGAGAAAAGGTGCAGTTTACATACCTGCTTTTTAAAAATGTTGCTGAAAAGATTACTGCTCGTGTCTAGAAGGGCAGTGGATTTTTGGCTTAAAATGACCTTCACATATTATATTTTAGACTGAAACCAAAACCTACAGGCCATAGGCCAAACCCAGCCATGTGTATTCCTTTCTGCGTCAACTGCTGACTTTGCTAAATGTCAGCGTCAAGTACTGTGGCTGAGACCGAGACTACGGCCTGCATGGCAAATGCTGCGTTGCTCAGGCTCCACAGAAACGTTTACCAGCTGATACCGAGGCCAACACAAAACAGGAAAGAAGAAAGAAAGGTGGATACCACTCCTTCTTTGCAAACGAGAATCCCAGACCAAATGCAAGCAGATTCAGAAGTGAAACTCACGTTTCTGGCCCTGCCCCCCACCCATAAGAAATGTGAAAATCCACATCAGTTGTCTGAATAATTCCGAAAGGACCAGGTTCACTGTCCTTCAGGTGTAAGAAAGAATACTAAAGCTAAGCACCGTGGCACAAAAGCACACTATCGGCCAAAACTTTTATAATCTTATATTTTTGCCTTTTTCATTATGGTGTGATGAAATAAATCCATTCTCCAGCATTATTGAAATAGAATAGATTAAGTATATTTAATATAAGCAGGGCTACTGGCAAGATTTTATTATATTACTGTGTTCCACCTTGTCTCCAATCAGCGTTTAACTTGGCAAGCTGTAGAGTTGACCAATTTTGATCCAAAGAAGTATCAGGGTAACTCTTTAGTAACAGGAAGTTCTTGGTTCCTTGCAGTAATGTATTCCCTCGCCCCTAGCAACAGATGACTGCTAGGAGCTAATTCTGCAAGCTGTGCACACCTATTTCTCCAGAAATACTTTCTACTTCACAAGCTCTGGGCCCGTTAGGATGGACCCGGATGGGTCTATGGGTGCAGCGCGTCCTCGCCAGGTCCTCCCGCTCTTGAAGAGCCAGGCGCACCTGATCCCCTGAGGCAGGGCACAGCTTCCAGGCTAGCAGGCACGCTGCCCAGAAGGCGGCTGGGGATGTGCCTCCCTGGGTGCCCGCCGCAGGCTTTCTGGGGATGGGATGCAAACCCTGGCCGGCGCAGGGCCGAGGACGCAGGCTGGCAGAGGTGGAGCAATGGGAGGTGGAAATTCAGAGGGGCGGTGGGAGCCAGCAGTTTCTCTGGTCTGGAAACCGGGCAGCCGCGCACCCCGGAGCTCGCAGGCTTGCTGGGGCCCGGCAGAAACCCGGCACGCAGGGTCGGCGCAAAGCTCCGCTTTGCTTCGCCAGCGCCCTGCCGGCCGGCGAGTACCCTGCCCGCCTCGGGGTCCCGCTGTCCCCGCGGACGCACAGCGCACCCGGGCGCATCCTGGTGTGAGGCCCGAGCGGCTGCCGGCTTCCTGACCCCCGGCCTGGGGCTGCCACTTACCCGACTTGTTGCTGTCTCGCAGCTGCTGCCGCGGTTGCCTAAGCTGCGGAGCCGAGCGGTTTTCAGCAGCGCCGTAAATCAGGCCGAGCCGGGCCGCCGCCTCCCGCCCCCGCCGCACCCCGCGCGGGGAGAGCGGCGTCCAGGGCGGAGCGTGGCGCGGGCGCTGCGGCCCGGGGAGCCACCCATGCGCGGTCCGGGGGTGCCACCCACGCGAGGCTCAGGATGTCGCCCACGCGCGGCCCGAGGTGCCACTCAGGCGAGGCTTAAGATGACACCCACGCGCCATCCCGGGTGCCACCCACGCGCGACTCGGGATGACTCCCACGTTCCGTCCAGGGGTACCACCCACGCGTGGCCCCGATGTCACCCACGCGTAGTCCCATGCCAATCGACTCAGCGCTGACCTGGGCGCGAGGCGCCGCTCGGGAGTCCAGGGCGTTGTGCACCAACGCTGCGATCTTTACCCTGAGCCCGGTACCAGGCTGCTGCGCGGCGTTTCCCGCAGGCCCTGGCCAGCGTGGTGCACTTATGTGGTGAGGACAAGGCAGGGCTGACCTTGGAAAGCTGCCCACAGGAAGGTCTAGTATTTTACAAAGGACCTCATCATCTTAAGGGACCAGGCACGAATGCCACCAGATCACTAGCCCAGTCTAGCCAGTGTCCGAGCAGAGTATCCCGAAGCTCTGCTAATGGGCAAAACTAGAGCTAATGAAGTTTAGGGGGACCCATACACAGTTGGCAGAGAGAACTCCCCCTGCGCCCTTGCCTCGGAGAGGATGCCCCTCTCCCCAGAGAAAGGAAGCTCTCTCATCCTGGAGAGAGGATTCTTTCCTTCTGAGGATCTGTGCTATCTCAGCTTGTTGGTTTTTGTTCTGTTGTAAGCCAACTTTGAAATGCCCCTACGCCAACTCCTGCAATATGAAACCAGGACAACAGTTACTGTTGGATTTTCTTGTCTTGATTCCTGGGGGAGTCAGTCCTTAGCACAGTGAGGATTACTCATTTCAGGGAAGCGCTTATTACGCTGAGCCATCTCTCTGGCCCTAGGATTACTCATTTCAACTGACTTTCTTGAACTGTAACTAGCTCAATAATTATCTTAACTAGTGTTGTTGTTGTTTAGTTTGGGGTTTTAAAGTTTTTTTTTTTAATCTCTAACAATCACATCAATGTAATAAAGATCCCCAGCTCTGCAGACTGCTAATACAAATCCTGACTTTAGGATTTAAAGTGTCCATAGGAGAGGGGCCTATGTGCATGGAAAAAGAGAAAACAGAAGGGGAACTAATACCCACTCGTGTGCATGGAGACAGTCGGCCAGGGTATGTTCTCCTTGAAAATGTTGTACATTAGTTCATTGATGGTATCCTTAAGCTCAATGTCAAAAGTGCATCTGCTCCAACAATTGGTTCACTTAGTGAAAGCCTGCACAGTCTTAGGTGCCCAGAGTGGAGGCCCAGTTATCTTGGACCTCTAGGAGACAACGTTCTGGATCACATTGGCTGCTTTAGTGCAAAATGAAACAGAAGTATGCTCCAGAGAATAAAAGCCCTTGTTCAGGGTTCTCCCAGTTCTGGGGCAGATTCCCCTTTTCCTGGTCCTGCCAAGTGAAAGGCTAGAGATTTTTCTGGAGTCTTTTGTCAACTCTACAAATGTCAACATTACCCAGTGATTCCTGGGAGGCTCTCTGCGGGGTCAGGAGTGGTGCACAGTGGGAGACGCAGGGCTGACCCACGGACACTAGACCCTCACAGCTTGGGCCCGGTCCTCTGGCTCGCCTGCACCCAGCTCTCCCACCTTCTCACCTGAGAACTTGTCAGCAGTGCTTGCTGCTGCCCTCATCCAAACCACTCGGCGAGAAACCTGGAGGCCAGCCCTGCCACCCGGACTTCAACAAAAGCCTGGGCTGATTCTGAGGAAAGTAAAAGCTCAAGAACCCCTGGTTTGCACCGTGCTTCTTCGCATGTTGCCTCCCAACCAAACAGCTATAGCTCCGTGAGCATTGTGTTTCTCTGGGCTCAGTGCAGTGATAAGCAGCTTTTTAAACTTTTTGCAGTAGTGACAGTTGAACCACCCAGGCCCTTTGCGCTGAGCTGCACTTACCCCTGACCTTTCTTAGTTTTATTTATTCATTTTTATTTTGAAGCAGGACCTCACTGAGTCACTAAGTTGTCCAGGCAGATCTTGAACATGTTTTCCTCCTGCCTAAGCCTCCCTAAGCATTTTATTATCTTCATAGAAGAATTAAAAACATTGTGTTGGGGCTGTGGCAATAGCTTGATGGTCTAAGCACCTGCTTGGCAAGTGCAAGTACCCAGGTTTGATCCCCAGTACTGCATGCTGTGCCGGCCCCAAAACCAGGGGTGGTGGTGCATGCCTGTAATCACAGCACTGGGGAGGCTGAGACAGGAGGATTACTATGAGTCCAAGATACATAGAAGACCCTGTATCAAATAAATAAATAAATAAATAAATAAATAAATATTGTTTTAAACATTCGTGCATATATATATATATATATATATATATATATATCCATGTTTATAGCGGCATAATTTGTCATAGCTAAATCTTGGAAACAACCCAAATTCCCATCAACTGAGGAATGGATAGAAAAGACATGGTTTTTCTTAAAAAAAAAAAAAAATACAGTGGAGTACTATTTAGCCACAAATAAGGGTGAACTGGAGACCTTTATGGGTAAAGGGATGCAACTCGAGACCATACTCGTAAGTGAAATCAGACGCCTATGTGTAAACATCATGTTGTCTCACTAGTGTGAGAAGCTGAATGAGTAAATAAGGTACAAAATATACAACAGATACTATGAATTGAGAAGAAATTGTTCAAAAGAAAAGGTAGACTGTGAAGGGGAAAAGAGGAAAGAACAAAGGGGAAGTATATATATATTTATATATATGAGTTAAGATAAAAGAAGACAGTTAAGATAGTTATACAGCTAGTTTCTCTGAGTTCACTGGCAAGAAAGGTTTGTGCTCATATTGTTGGGATAAGATACCATCCTATGTCTTGTACCCTGAATAACTACCACAAAACCAACAATATGCAATGCATTAATTCTTATACCTCTCCTACTAATCTACTTTGAAATTGTGTTTTATAGTCATTTTCATTTCTTTTTTCTCTTTAAGATAAAATAACTCTTCTCAAGTCTGTGTGGTAGGGGCCTCTTGTGCTCATTTGTAGCCACGCTGGCAAACATCCGCGTGCAGTCAGAACCCTCTGGGCTGTGAATATGAGAAGCAGCCCGAGATCACAAGTGACTTTTGGCGGTGGCAAGTTGCTTCATGAGCACAGTGCCTGGCAATTGTGAAAATGCAGGCCGCAGTCCTTCCTGAGAAGGGCGTGAGGAGCTTCTCCACACTGACCTCGAGGACTGACTCTAATTAGCAGCTTGAGTCTCCATTACTATTGTCTTCCAAGTTCCTGATGTGACTGATTGAATCCATGTACTCGTTCTGTCTTTCCACCAGGATTATGGCATCCCTACTGTGTGCCAGGATAGAGCGTATGCATCATTTAGCCTTCAAGTGATAGCTGTAATCTGGTTTGAAAGCCTCCGCCAGAATAATCCAGTCGAAAGCCCTATTTCTATTAAATTCTGTTGGCATGGCAACCACCAAGCAACACCGTGGAAAGTGCCTTAAATCCCACAGCAGAGCTGTTAGCCTGAGCGAATCTGGAGGGAGTAGGCCAACTAGAGAGATGGAAACTGTCCTGACAGAGAGGTGGGGACCCACCTAGGAAGGGCAGTGTGATTTCCTGATTCCCCCGGGTGGGGTCAAATGTGAGCCACATAGGAGGAGGGGTTAATCTTCCACTTTGCAGGCCTCTTCAGCCCAGTGCTTGGGCTACGAACGTAGAGATCCAAAGCCTAACACTGCATCGCCCGAGTAGACATGGGGACCAGTTTAAGACAGACACCATTTCTGGGCTCATTTGTAAGAGCATGAGCTAGACTGAACTAAGGACTTTCCAGCACCTGAATCCCAGCAGTTCCTTCAGTCAGTGCATCTGTCACTTCCAGGGCCATGTGGATCAGGTGACTAAAGCAGAGAAAATGGCAGGCTGGCTGGGTGGTGGTGGAGAACTTTGTCAATAAGCAATATGGCGAAAAACATTCGATGTTGCCTCTTCTTATAGTGACAGCTGACGTGGATCGAGTCTTTGTTATGTGCCAAGGGTGATGCCAAGGGGCTTTTACATGCTAAGCCACTTCACGTTCCTAGAAAGGGTAAGAGGAGCTTCCCTTATTTCACAAAGAAGTAAACTGAATCAGAGAGAAGTAAATAGCTTATCTCTACAGAGAGAGTAAATTCTACTTCTAGGATTGATTCTGGGACCTAAATTAAGATCCTATATGCTTGACAGGATCCCTTGCAGTGCCTGTTGCTGACCCTCCCTGGCACCCTGAGTGTTCTCAAAACCTAATTGCTTTGCTACAAAGTTCTTAGTGCTTCTTATCACTCAGTCCCAAGCCCGTCCTCCTCATGGTGGTCTGTAATGTGGAGAAAATCTTGGAGACCTCTTCCATAAGCAGATGACTGTGGGAGAGCTAGAAAGCACAGAGCTGTGGAATAAAATGTACAGAAAACGATGGGGTTAAAATATGGGAACTGTGCACTAATCAGGCTGAATTATGTAATGACGGAAGTAGGAATTATGGAACTGACGCTGTCAAAATAGATCCTGTTTTCTAGGATCCCAACTACAGAGGCAATTTTGTTCTGCCATTTTAGGTGAAAATTACATTTGTTTTTAGAAGCAGAGAGGGAAAAAAGAGAGCGTTTTGCTATAAGCAAGACAGAGCTAAATTTGGAAATAAAATGTACAAAGAGTTTTCTCCTCTATTAAAGGAACCAAATAATATATGAACATACTAAACAACTTGGTTAAACCTATAGCCCAACAGTATAAAAGGAATAATTTTTTTAACATTGAATGCTAATACAGATATCTGAATAGTTAATTGGAGCCTTTTCTGCTCTTGGTCAGCATAGAAACAACTCTTCAGACTGGGAAGACAGAATTTCCTCTTCTACCTGCAGTAGTACAGAACTGCTTTCCTAGGCTATGCTAAGAGGTGCGTCTTATTAGGCACCTAACGGAGAAGATTACAAGATGAGTTAGAGGGGCATCCTTAGAATACTATTATTATAAAGTGAAAATA